CACTTATTTTTACTTAAAAAAAATAAAATAATTTGAAAACAGCGAACGCATATATTAGTAAACACAGATCACACATGGATCATGTAGCAGACGATGCGACAGTAGACACTTATGACGTCACGTCCCAGCACCAATAAAAATCGTTTTCTTTCAGTATAAATAGTTTCAACTTTTAAATAAAAATTTTAATATGTAAAATTTAAAAAAAATTAAAACTTTCAACACTAATATATTTTAAAATACCTATATTTACGATTTTATAAAAAAAAAACGTAACATTTTTTTTATGCAAACTCCCTATTAAGGAAGTTCTCTCGCAAACAGAAATGACGAAGAGTTAATTATCAAACTTGATAAACTGATAGATAATGGTTTAAAGTAGATGTAGTTAAATTTTTAGAGGTCTAGGTGGATTTTGACAAAAGATATAAATAATTTTCTCTTTTCACATTTAACACGGGTTCTTATGGGAAATTGAATTTTTTGGTCTGAAATCTCAAATTGTGAAAAATCTGACAAAAAGATATTACTGGAACTTTATATACATAAAGTTTAATAGCCAATGTTCACTTACTTTTAATAAAATTGATCAGACCTGGCTTAGGAGACTCACAATTAATTATTTTGTCTAAAAAAAAATACAGTATTTTGACAATCAGAAATTACTTAGCACAACGCTTGGCAACGTTGCGTCTTGTAGATTAGGTATAGAAAAAGCGCGAAATTTGAAAGTAATATAAGTAGTATATACATATAATAGTATATTCTTCAAAGATTCATAATAATGAATAATAATTTGAATTTGCTTATAAAAAATTAAGATTTTTAAAATAATAAATTATTATTATTATTATTTAACGAAAATAAATCAAACAATAGCAGACGACACGAAACGGAACGGGGGAAATATAATCCAACGTTGCCAAGCGTTGAGCTAGTACTACGTGATACAAATAAAAACTTAAATGGGCATTGATTTGACTGACGTTGGAGGGGGAGAACTTCCTTAATGAAAGTTAAAAAATAAAAAATTCACATTTTGGCTATAAAATTGTGTGATTATTTAAATTTAAGTTTATAGATAAAATAATTATATTCCTTACATGAAAACGAATCGATTGGTATATATAAAATTTACATTTCAGGTAAATTTAATAAATTAATGAAAGTTAAAAAATAGAAAATACACATTTTAGCTGAAAATTTTTATATTTATTTAAATTCAAGTTTAAATATAAAATAATTGTGTTCCTTGCATTAAAACGAATCGATATAATTGTAAATAATTATATATTATTTTTCATTAATATTTAGAAATCTCGGTTAAAATATGAATTTTTGATTTTTTAATTTCCATTAATTCTTTAAATTTAACTCAAATGTATAGGTACTCAAATGTTTATATTATTATATTATTTTTGTATGTTTATTTCAATGTTAATGCTTTTTCCACGAGGAAGCAAATTTTTTTGCTGATCGTAAAGAGGAAGCAAAATGTAATGAACATCTGAATTTACAACTTGTTTTATTTATTTTATTGAAACTTACCGTGATTACTATCTCATCTCTTCTCGGAACAATAAAAAAATAGGACGTACATCTGACAATTTCGTGTATTACGAAAACGAACAATATTTAGCACGTGTTACAAAAAGAGGGCTAAACTATGTGCAAGTTACAGCCCGGTCCGATCAACTTTTTTTTCACTTAGTTCGCTACAAGAATTTTACCCCATATATATATATATATATATATATATATGGGTCATTCCACGTGAAAAGGCAAATGGATTTGTCCACTCGTGGTTTAAAGCAATCGCAAAGTCTTAGGACTTAAAATTTAGCATTTTTTATGTAGAATCGAATACCGAGTGGCTGATTTTAAAATTTTCAAAATGGCGGCCACCACAGGCTGGAATGTGACGTAAAAAAAGCTTTTTTTTAATTTAAATTGGAAAAACTTTTACATTTTAAGACCAAAATTATTCAAAACAACTACTTTTCATATTTGTGAGTTGACAGAACACAAACATATGGTCAGAACTAAAAAATCCAAAATGGCGGAATCAAGATGGCGGATTAATTTTTGAAAATTCAATAAATTCAACTGAATTCAGTTGAATGGTGTTACTTGGGGGTTTTCGGGGTCGCTGATTACAAATCTGATGTCAGAATTGAAAAATTCAAAATGGCGGATCCAATATGGCGGCCGAAATATAAAAAAATGAGTCAATTCGCTTGAAACGTGTTACTCGGGGGTTTTCGGGGTCGCTGATTACGAATCTGAAATCCATTTTTGAAAATTTAAAATGGCTGATCCAAAATGGCGTACGAAAAAATTAAAAATCACTTGAATTGAAATGAAATTCGTTACTCGGGGGTTTTCGGGGTCGCTGATTACGAATCTGAAGTCAGAATTAAAAAAATTCAAAATGGCGGACCTAATAGGGCGTAAGATTAATAAAAAAACCATTAGAAATGTTTAAAACTTGTTATTCTGGAGTTTTTTAAGTTGTAGATCACGAATTTGTGAGCAGAGATTAAAGAAGAAAAATATTAATAAAAAAAATCGCTGAATACGAATCAAAGGTCAGAATTCAAAATGGCGGATCCAATATGGCAGAAGATTTTTTTTAAATCCATTAAATAAACTGAATATTGCTACTCAATGGTTTTTGGGGTCGCTGAATATGAATCAAAGGTCAGAAATAAAAAATTCAAAATGGTGTATCCAATATGGCGGAAACTTTTTTCAAAAAATGACTAAAAAAATGAATATTCTTTCTCGTAGGTTGGGGATCGCCAAATTCGAATTTTAACGGACTTTCTTAAAAATATGGTTTTCTGATGCGGTCGGGTATATACGCTGGTTATTAAAAATTTATAATAAAAATTCACAATGGTAAAATCTTAAAGAGCATTAAGCCCTCTTTAATTTCTGACCTAGAAAAAAAAATTTCGAGAGTATTAAATTCTTTAAATCGTGACTTCTTGATCATGCTTTTTTAGGTAGGATTGATTATTCAAGATATTAAATCAATTTTATGAGGCTATGTTGCAAAAGGCTTGTAGCAAAATCCTTCTTCAGTATTTCGAAAAAAATTGAAAATGGTCAAGATTTCTATTGTCAGCAGAATTTTGTACAAAACTTTGCATTTCTTACCACTGTGCGCCTGCGCGATTCTCACGTGATAGCTTGAGCCAATCAGCCCCCTAATCGACGCCATCATGCAGTTGCCCCCTCCACACGGAGCTACAGAGGACGGACAGAACATCAAACTATTTACTATTACTATCTCACTACGACTACGGTTGTGCAGTTATCACCATACTAGAAAATACTTTTTCTCAACGTTAATAAATACAGTCTAGATCCGATATACTTACAGTAGAATCTACTTAATTCCCTTTCATTCATTTATTTTTCCTTATATCTTTATTTCATTTTCGTCTTCTCTTTTAATAAATTTTTTTCTACATTCTAAAGAATTTTAAAAACTTTTGCAGAGTCTAAAATTTTTAAATTAATTTCAATCAGTCCTTTTTATGACTTTTATTTTGATAAATAGCATTAAAACCAATTTTAATCAGTCCTTTTCAGGACTTTACTTTTGCCAAATACCATTAAAACTAATTTCAATCAGTCCTTTTCAGGACTTTTATTTTGATAAATAGCATTAAAACCAATTTTAATCTGTCCTTTTCAGGACTTTACTTTTGCCAAATAACATTAAAACTAATTTCAATCAGTCCTTTTCAGGACTTTTATTTTGATAAATAGCATTAAAACCAATTTCAATCTGTCCTTTTCAGGACTTTTATCTTGATAAATAGCATTAAAACTAATTTCAATCAGTCCTTTTCAGGGCTTTTATTTTGATAAATAGCATTAAAACCAATTTCAATCAATCCTTTTTAGGACTTTTATTTTGAGAAATAGCATTAAAACCAATTTTAATGAGTCGTTTTCAGGACTTTTCTTTTGATAAATATAGTATTAAGCCAAAGTCCTTAGCCATTTTTTGAAAAAATATTCCGCCATATAGGATCCGATATTTTAAAATTATTTAATTCCGACCTTTGATTCGTATTCAGCGCTTTTTTTAATTAATATTTTTCTTCTTTAATCTCCGCTGACAAATTCGTGATCTACAACTTAAAAATCTCCAGAGTAACAAGTTTTGAACATTTCTAATGGTTTTTTTATTAAACATACGCCCTATTAGGTCCGCCATTTTGAATTTTTTAATTCTGACTTCAGATTCGTAATCAGCGACCCCGAAAACCCCTGAGTAACGAATTTCGTTTCAATTCAAGTGATTTTTAATTTTTTCGTACGCCATTTTGGATCCGCCATTTTAAATTTTCAAAAATGGATTTCAGATTCGTAATCAGCGACCCCGAAAACCCCCGAGTAACACGTTTCAAGCGAATTGACTCATTTTTTTATATTTCGGCCGCCATATTGGATCCGCCATTTTGAATTTTTCAATTCTGACATCAGATTTGTAATGAGCGACCCCGAAAACCCCCGAGTAACACCATTCAACTGAATTCAGTTGAATTTATTGAATTTTCAAAAATTAATCCGCCATCTTGGTTCCGCCATTTTGGATTTTTTAGTTCTGACCATATGTTTGTGTTCTGTCAACTCACAAATATGAAAAGTAGTTGTTTTGAATAATTTTGGTCTGAAAATGTAAAAGTTTTTCCAATTTAAATAAAAAAAAAGCTTTTTTTACGTCACATTCCAGCCTGTGGTGGCCGCCATTTTGAAAATTTTAAAATCAGCCACTCGGTATTCGATTCTACATAAAAAATGCTAAATTTAAGCCCTAAGACTTTGCGATTGCTTTAAACCACGAGTGGACAAATCCATTTGCCTTTTCACATGGAATGACCCATATATATATATTTAATTTATTTATTTGTATATGTAAATTTACTACTACAGTTGTTATATAATATTAGAATGTAAGTTCTTTAAAATTTATTTTCAAGATGCTTATTTGTAAAGAAGAAGATGATCAAACTACTACTGATGAAGAATCACCTGTTAGACAAAAGAAAAGAGACCCAAATAAAGTTGATAAAAAATTTTTGTGGCCTCATGGTGTAACTCCACCAACAAAAAATGTAAGACGTAAGAGATTCAGAAAGACATTAAAAAAGAAGTATGTTGAAGCTCCAGAAATTGAAAAAGAAGTAAAACGTTTGCTTAGAGTTGACAATGAAGCAGTTAACGTTAAATGGGAGGTAATATGTGAAGATGAAGATCTGTCAAAACCAAGTAAAGTTTCTTCTAGTGGAACAGTGAAAAGTAAGAGAGATAGTGCTGACGAAAATATGTCACAAAATGTAGATATCGGTGAGTAGGATTGCAAGTCTTTTTAAATTTTTTTTTATATTTACCAAACTTTTTTACAAGATCTTTTTTTTCTTTTCATGTCAAGGCAAATTCTTCAAATTAATTTTATTGTCAATTAATTTAATGGCAATTATTGTCCATTTTATAATTTTATTGGTCAAATAATAGAAAAAACCTTGCGTAACTTTTTTAATCTATTGAATTAATTGCAATCTTGATGCATGATTCAAATGTAAGTTTGATCTAAGGTTGTCGCAAGTTTGTAGTAAGTTTGTTGCACAATTTTAATTTTCATTTAAGTCAAATTTAATTTTGTTTTTTGGGATACAACTTATTTTTGAATTTATACCGAGCATTAAAGATGGAAAGTAAAATTTAAAAAATTGCTGCAAGTATGTTGCAAACTTACGTGCTGATTGGGTATAAATTTAATTACTGTTTCAAGTTATATACAATAATTTTTAAATGTCCCTATTTATGGAACGGTCCAAAGAGGTGCTCCTATTCGACGGTCCTCGTTTTGTATGTATATATTGTACATATTTATGGAACAGATATAACGACAATAATAATTATGATTTTTAAGATGAAGTGCAACATATTAAAGGAATTTTTATTTAAGAACAATAAAAGCTTTGTTTTTGATTGATGTTTGTATTATATGTATCGGTAAGTATGCACAATGTTATTTTTTCATAAAAAATCAAAACCTAACTTAAAAAATTAAAGGAAAGGAAAAAAACTTAAAAAACTAAATTAAAAAATTGTAATGTGTGTACCAAGCTCTATGTATGCTTTTCAAGAGGCATTTCAGGCGGTGAACGAAAGCATTTCTTTTCGAAAAGCCACAAATATATATGAAGTACCTGTGACATCTATTCTTGGGCGTCAAAAAATCAAGAAGAAATAAAGACAATATCTGGTCCACCTACTGTTTTAAGTGAATCAGTAGAAGACAAAATTGTCAATTGGATTTTATACAAAGCTGAAAATAGATTCCTAGTCACAAAAGAAGAGTTATTGGATAGTGTGCAATATCATGTAAATGATTTGGGAAAGAAACCATCGTTTATAAGTGGTGTAAAATATTTTCAAAAAATTCAAGATTTGACCCTTTTTTTGAAAATAAAAAATTTTTCTGACTTTTTTTAAGTTTCGTTTTTTTTTAATTTTTTCTTTTTTTTTTAAGTTAAAAATGTGTATTTTCATCACAAAAAATATTGAGATGTCCTTTTTTGTTATTTTCGAGATATTAATTAAATGTTAATAAAAAATTAAATATTTTACATCTAAATAAAGTTATTGCAATTCTGAAGCTACCAATTGAAATCTGACGTAATTCGGCATCCAACGAACCTTATAGGAACTATTTTGGATTACAGGATTTTTTATAAACAATTGCAATGTTTGACAATTTTTTATTTACAATCCACTAATCCAAAATACTTCATACAGGGCTCGTTGGATGCGGAATTATGTCAACTTTCATTTAGTAACGTCAGAATTATGATAATTTATTTAGATGGATATTGACGGTGCGACAGAAGGAGGTTTAATTAAAAATTCTTTTTTTGATTATGGTTCTTAGGTGAATAAGAAAGATTTCTCAACAGGTTTTAAAATCAGTTTACTTGCCCGATTTAAAAAAAATTGAGTTTTAATATAAAAATAGTATTTTATGGGGAACCAGAATTTATTTAATGTACATATATGTATAGATAATAATGTTTTAGATTTGTGTTTATATATATTTATTAACATTGAAGTTATTTTCTGGTTCCGTTTTTATATTTATGCATTAAGAGTTTCGAAAGGTATCTAAAATTTTTTGGCAAGAAGAGAGCTTTAATTACCGCTCTGAACGTGAAGTAATATTGATTTTAAAATACTTTTCTCTCGAAACACGGACACTTTTTACAAAATCCTTATCTTATAAATTTCCTAAATCCAAAAGACTACACGGAAAAAATTTTGGTGCACCGGTTGTAGTGGTTAGTTAAAAAAATTTTGTACTTTAAAAACGGACATTAGTTATCCCGGTTTGGGGCTATTCACTCTTTCGATTCGCAATGATTCCCAAGTGACTCATTTTTATCCCTTAGTGACTCATCTTGATTCATAAGTGACTCTAAAACAAGTTCTCCATGAGTCCCTTATGAATCACGAGGAGTCACTAAGGGGTAAAAATGAGTCACTTGGGAATCATAGCGAATCACGAGAGTGAACAGCCCCTCGATGCTTCTGCCATTTTACGGCGGCAGGAGGTAATGAACCTGTCATTATATTACTTCCTGGCAAGAAGGAGTGTATTAAAAGGTATTAATTAGCATTGAAAAAAAGACAATCGAATGCCTTTAAATGATAATTAATTCCGTTCCTTTCCGGAATCCCAGTTAATGCTTTCGGTACGTTATAAATCTTTTTTTGGTGGCATAATCACTAAAACATTGAAATTAATTTTTAAAAAACTACTTCCTTAGTTTATACAAAAACCCTAATTGTCGAAACAGTACGTCAATGCAGTAACCCACTTCTGTCCACAAGCATAATTTTACGCGAAATAACGTGGTGAGAATACCACGCGATAATATGCTAAAATCTTTTTACACTTTTTAAGGTTAGGTCTATTAATATAAAAAAGGCTACTTATCCGATTAAATTCAATGAATAACTTATGCAAATAACGATATCTTTCTCAAGGAAAAAAAAGAAAAAAGTATGTATTTTTTAGCACTAATTATTGGAGAACACAAATGTGCGTTTGCACACTTGAATGTCTACTAAAAACTCAGCTCCTGTCAATAATTATAAGAAAAAAATTCGGTTGACAGATATGTCAATTGTAAAAACAAAAATAGCTAGTGGCCCACTTCTTACGGTGGCCCACTTCTGTCGATGCTACTCTACAGCAATATAGTTATTTATATATGTAAAACTGAAAATAATTAATTATTTAAGTATTTATAGATTGAATAAATTCTGAATCCCCATGAAACACTGTTTTTATATAAAAACGCATTTTTTTAAAATCGGGCACATAAACTGATTTTAAAACCTATTAAGAAATGTTTCTTATTCATCTAAAAACTATAATCAAAAAGAATTTTTAAGTGCCAACTCATTTTTATTTAAACCACCTTCTGGCGCACCGTGAATTCATCACATGATTCTATTTGATTAGTGTCATTTTGTCGAGAGAATCAAATCGAAATAATTTTATTGCTTTCTAATTTATCACACATTCAATCACTCGACATAGCAGTTTTTCATCCGTTTGAAGATGTTTAGAAAAGAACAATTCCCAAGTTGAAAGCTGAAAACAAGAACAGGGGAGAGTAGGCCTATGAGTAAAAGTGCTAAATTTGGTCCTGCCTATTTTTCAAAAAATGTTTGCTGCTCTTTCGATGTGTTTGCGATTTCAATAAACGTAATTATAACAGAAGCCTGCAAAAAAAAAATTTCCGTTGTCAGAGTTAGGGAAGACATTTTCCGTAGTTTTTGGTGCGCTGATTCCGAATCTGGCAACACAAACCGCCCATCACGTCAGGATGTTGAGAAATGTGGGGGTATAATTCCCAAAAATCACGTTTTTGTCAGTTTTTGAAAATTTCTACTGGATAAATCCGACGTGATTGTGACTTGTCATAGGAGTCAAATTAAAGCTTTCATAAAAATTGACTCTTAACTATTCGTAAATACAACTATTTTATAAAATACTTGGATTCGCTTGGAATTTGTCACTCGGGAGTTTTCGGGGTCGCGGATTACGGATATTATGTCAGATATTCAAAATGGTGTATCCAATATGTCGGATTGAATCGATTTTGCTTCCTCGCGGAGGAAGCTTTGTAGTCTTTTCGTTTATAAAATTATTAAAAATGGTGAAAACAAATTTTCCTCTATATAGAAATATGTTATATGTGATCCTGTTCAATTGTCCGGATGTATGTATGTGTGTGTGGATCCTTTTCTGTGAACACGATAACTTTAACAGGTTTTAATAGATTTAGGTAAAATTTGGTAGGCTAATTTTTCACATTAATATCTCAAAATGGACACTATAATTTTAAAAAATACCTCCCAAAAAAAATTTCATCGTCTTTTTTCCAAAAATTAGATTTTAATCAAAAAATATTTTTAGAAGCAAAATTTAAGGTAATACACTACCGTCGGAAATTGTGCGAACTCTGCATTTTCAACAACTATAAATCTGTTCAAATCATTAAAAATATTAAAACTAAAATTTTTTTCTCTTTATTTTATTAAAGCTAATAACTTTCTGAAAGAAATGACACCTTGGCAAAGAGAATATGTTAATTTTTCAATTAGATATCTAAGGAAAACCCAATTTTCAATGTTTTTACTATTGTTATACAATTTAAGTTATATAAAACAATTTATGTACACATTCTTCCCTAGCGTATGCAAACCGTGAAAGTTGGATAAAAAAATCAAAAAATTAAAGTTCAATGATTCAACAAAATATAATTTTTAAAAATTAAATAAATAGATAACCTTAAACTTCTCTGATTTATGTAAGTAAATTTACAATTTATACATTTTACTGATCATTTTTTGTCATGTAAATATTAATCATAATTTTTTGATGTTTTATTAAACAACTTTTACGGTTTGCATTCGCTAGGGAAGAATGTGCACATGAATTGTTTTATATCATTTTAATTGCATAATAAAATACGATTCCAATGAGCCCAAGAACGTTTAAAAATATTAATTTTTGCCAGAGAAATTAAAAAAATTGTAAAAACATTGAAAATTGGGTATTTCTTAGATATCTAATTGAAAAATTAACATATTCTCTTTGTCAAGGTGTCACTTCTTTCAGAATTTTATTAGCTTTAATAAAGTAAGGTCGATTAAATTTTAGTTTTAATATTTTTGAAGATTTGAACAGTTTTATAGTTGTTGAAAAATAAGAGTATACGCACGTTAGACGCAAACACATATATACATATAATCGTTTTTTGTGTTTATCATAG